TTAAAAAAATTGCACGCAGCGGGCACAATCAATACAATATATTTTAATAATAGAACTTAAATATCATTGTAATTTTGATGGATAACTAATTAAGGAAGGGCTATAGAGGCTTGCCTAGTTGATAACCTCTTCTGTGAAAAATTTTACAACAGCTTACATTAAATCAGGAGAGAATGAGTTCCTCTAACATCTTTGCAGCTGTCCGTTGCTTTCGCTATGGCTCAGATAATTAATGGGGTTCAGGAGGAGTATGTCCGCATAGTTTGTCCACAGGGCTGCTGGGTAATACAGACTGTGTGATTAGGTGGCTGTGGTCTGTGCAGTTTGTGGGGAAACCTCTCCATTTTAACCTGAACAGCAAATGATGATTCAGTTTCCTTTCCAGTGAGAAATTGTTTTAGGAGCTACTGCATGTGTAGGAACAGTGAAACACAGAAATGAATGCCAGTCGTTCCTGAAAGATTGTTAATTAAAGCTTCACAGCTCTTCAGAGGGCTCAGTGGAAAGGGAAGCCTTCATGCCATCCTCTCTTCTGCAGGTGTTTTGTGGGAAGACCTTTGCAGAGTTTCTGAAATTAAATGTTGCCAAACTTGCAAGCACCTGAGCTTGATTCCAATATGTAAATGCATAAGAAAATGTGGTTGGACACTTTTTAGTATTGGAAGCCCACAGGTTTTAAAAATTCATGTAAATAAAAATAAATTTGCTCAGCAGTTTAAAATTGAACAAAGCCATTCCTAGCGCCAAAAATTTCAGTACAAAAAGAGAGTTTTTGTACATTCTTTGCTATTTTTTTTTTCTTTAGAAGTTAAGATGAAAGCTGGTGCTGGAGATAAAAATTGGTATTATCACAAAGTCATCTGCAAAGCCACAATAGTGGCTTTTTTAATAGGGTGTGGCGTGCTTCTGTAATGTCATACATGCATTAGAGAAAAACCATTTTCACAGCCTGTTTTAATTTATTGGATTAGATGAAAGTAAAGATTTCATTTTTGTAGTGTATCGTTAGATAAATGAGCAATGAAATTTGTGTTTACTTACAAACATAATAAAATGCTACAGTGCTTTTGGGATGCGGACCTGTTGTGTTTTCTCTGAATGTGCTTCAGTTGTGCTGGTGGGATTGTTTTTTGGTTTTGTTTTTTTTTGTTTTTTTTGTTTGTTTGTTTTTGTTTTTTTTGTTTGTTTGTTTTTGTTTGTTTGTTTGTTCGTTTGCTTTAGGAAGGGAGAACTAGAGGAGGTAATTCAAAGCTCTGGAAAACTGAGTTTGACCACCTGAATCACTTTGGAGTAGGTAATGTCCACTCAGATGTTCTAAAGAAATTAAAAGTTGAAATAGATTAATTATTAGTTATAGTATGTAATCTGACACTTAAAAGTGCCTCAGAAAGAGTGATTAATTTGACTAGTGTCCACTTTTAAAAAAATGATTATTGGATAAACTGACAGACCAACAGACCTTATATGTGTATAGGACATGCTAGTTGAAATTTTGAGAAATATGAAAGAATACAGTATATTAAGGAAGATTTATTACAGCTTTAAAAAAATGCATAGTAGATATTGAGATCAACAGAGTGAGGTTATGTATTATTACTTAAAAGACCTTCTCCTTTGTTTCCTCTCTTTCATTTGTCTGCCTCTTTAATGTGATCATGTCTCCCTCATTTTGTTTTGCAGTGTTAAATACAGCTCTTCCAGCCATTCCTTGTAAAAGGGTCCCTCTCTTTCTCTGCTTAAAAGACAGCAGTAATTTTCCCCACCTGTTACAGCTTGAACACGTTTTCTGTAAATGCAGCTGAGCTAATATTGAACACATGATTTCTCATGAGGGAGGCCTTGCAGTTTTGTGCAATGGTCTGGGTACTCTTACATCTTCTCTAGTCTAGTGCAGGTAGGGTGCCAGCAGGTGAGCGTGGGTAGACTGCATCCCAGCCTGAGTGGGTAACTTTAAGTATGGCACTATGCCATATGAGCCCTTTTGCTCTGGTCTCAGTTAGCTGAAGAACCTTTGGTGCCGCTTTCTATGTCCACAGGTGAGTATTGCCATGGTAGATCTGCATCTCTGGTGTCTAACACCCATGTCATTGACACAGTTACCCTGGGTAAATCCATCTAATGTCTAATTCTGTTTTCTTTGAACATCAATTTCCATAATTATTCCTGTTTTCAAAATCGGTTGTGTGTCAGTGTTGGGTAGCTTTTTTGACCCTACAAGCTGCACACTGAAACCTTCATATAATTCAGAGCCATGGGACATTAACCATAAGTGTTGAAGAGCCAAAGAGAAAACATGAACTGTTGCAGTTCTATCCTTTCAGTCTTCTGTGGTGGAAATTGTTTTATCTGCTTGCACTGATCACTTAGGCTCTTAGGGGTTTTCTTCTAGTTGGGATATCACCTTTACATGTCACAGTCTCTGAATTTCCGGATACTGTTCAACGCTTAGGCTGACCTTGCTGCAGCTAGCCAGTGTAAATGCTCTCCATTCAAGAGAGGTTTCAAGGAGAATTGTTAAGAATTTTAATGTTTTGACGTTTATGGCTTTTCATTCTGTAAATTGCTTGGGTTTTGTTTTTTTTTTTTTTTTTTAAATGTTTGGGCACCGACAGGCTTGCAGTTCCTTATTTTATACCTTGATCTTTTGATTCAACTGTGTTTGTTTGCAGATGTTCACAATTTGAAACAAGATTGTAATTAGGTAAGCTTCTGGTACTGGCAAACTACTTTTGCACTGCCTTTCTGAAAGGAAAAATACATACTGCTGAAAACTGTAATTGAAATAAACCATTCTTTATTCTTTGCTGTAATTACCATAATGTAATTCTGAGCACAGGTGGGAATTTTCTATTAATAGGACTTGTTTAGAATAAAAAAGAGAAAATAACAAGGAATCATGCCAACATTTGTTTCTAAGAGAGTTCTACAATTACTTTAGAAAGGGGTAGTAACAAATAATTTCCTAAATGACAGGGTTTGTGTTAGTTTGTCTTCATTTATGTGTTTGCATGTTTGACTTTTGGAAGCTATTTAAAAATTTTAGTTTTTTTAGTATCGTAGGTTTCTATTTTATTTCCAAGGGTGCCTCCCAAACTCCTTTTTTGTCCATCCTCACTGCTGATCTACATAAATACTCCTGGATTTATTACATGATTGGCATGTATTCTAATAATACAAATGACTTACTATGACTATGCAGCAAGCACACGTAGACCCTGAGAGACCCCCAAGTGGTCACCGTATTCACAGCTGCTCTGGGAACAATTCTTTAACTCCAATGTACACAATCTTCATACCAATCCACTTACTGAGCCTCTGCTAAACAACTGAAATTTCCAGAGAAATTCAACCACTCTCTATAAATATGCCATCCTCTGGCATGATTTTGTGTATTGTGTGATGTAATATTCTCTCCCATTTGTTCCTATCAATCAGATAATACCCTGAGGAATGAAGGCTTAGTCTTTGCTATACTTTTAGTTGGTTTCACTGCAAATTTTATTCTTGTATATGAGTGTGTAAGCACTCTTAATATTGGTATTGTGGGGAAAGGAAAGAGGTTCACAAGCTGACTGAATGAGAGAGGTGATTTTTTTCTTTATGTTTAGATGGGTTATTTTTCTTTCATTTTTCTGTCATCATTTGCTTTTGTGTCATGGGTCAGGATACACAGTTCTGTCTGTCTGCTCTGCCTTGTTGGGTCAATATTTTATAAACAACAGATGTAGGTATATATGTACTAGCTATTTTTAGTTCTTTCCAAACCAAGTCTTGACTTATCAGAAGGTAAAGGGAAAATAACTTTTAAAAGCTCTGGTCTTAGAAAGAAAGGATCGTGGGTGTCAGCGGCTGAATGAGAACCATGACAAAATGCCAAAGATATGAGGATGTCCCTGAGCAGTAAATTCTATGGGCTATTCACCAGGTAGCCTTATCTTACAGTACCCTGTCTCCCTACCAAAGACAACATTATCTTTGAGTGTATTACTTCTGAAATGCAAGGGACTGACTTCTTAAAAAAAAAGCAAAAACAAAACCAAAAAAACTTACAAGGTTACTAGATAGAACTGCTATCCCATTAGTCCTTCCCCAGTCATGCTTCTGCACACTGACAGCCCAGCTGAGCAGCAGATGGGGGCACTTGTAGGCTCTGTGGAAGGATGCATAGCTCTTCATTGACTTTCTTTTACTCCTCAGGCAAATTTGACCATATGATAATAGGAATTTTGCCTTCTTCAGAAAATGACGTAGCTCAGAATAATTCCCTTTTTGAAAATTTTTCTAAGTGCTTCGCAATCTAAAGATTTCTTCTTTGGGGTGAAATTGGTATTTGAGCATTTGTACCTTTTATGCTGTCTTAACATCAACTTTTTCTGTTTGGCCCCTCACTCCCCATTTCTGTGTGTGTAAATAATCTCAGGAATTTTTGTCACATTCAGGTAAATTGATCTCAGAGACCACCTCTAATTCTGCTCTTAACACTATATTCAAAGAGTTCATGTGTATTCTTTTGGTCATCTCTGAACCAGTCAGACAGTTGGATTAGATGATCATTGTAGGTCCCTTCCAGCTGAAATATTCTATTCCATTCCATTCCATTCCATTCTTTCCCCTCTAAGGTGTGGTACTTTGGCTTTATTTGTGTTACATCTTGTTCACCGTTTGTTTTCTAAGTTGTATTATCTGAATGAAAAAATAAGATAGCAGTAGTTTTACAATTAAAAATTGCTTTTTGTTTATCTGCAAATTTTATTAATGTATTACTACTTGCAACCCACTGCAAGAGGTTAGTCTATAGTGTGATTACAGCAGGCTTTGAGCTTTCACCAATTTCAGTGGGAGTTCTCTTATGAAGCTCTGATGTTGAGCCCATATGAGCAATATGGGTCCTAATTTCTCTATCTGCAGGACCTGCTTCTGAGTTACTCCCTGCTTTGTGTGTGGAGTGGAGGGGTTATAACAAATTTTAAAAGCCTGGTTTAATCTTTCATGTATTTTAGGATCTGGACAGTGCTATAATAGGGAGACAGAATTTGGAGATGGAAATTAGAAACCTCCAAGATAAACTGACTGCTAACCAGAAAGCTTTGGACGCCTCAAAGCAGGAGCTGCACAATCTGAAGAAATCTTCCAGTGAGCTGGATAGAAGCTTGAAGAGCAGCAGAGAAGAGGTCAGGACTGCTCAGACCTCTTTAGTGGCTTTTAAAGAACAAATTGCTACTCTACTCAGCGGTAGATCTGCAATAGTTAAACCTTCCGAGAAGGCCATTTTGGAGAGGATCCAAGAAATAAACTGCAAAGAGAGGAGTAAAGAAATAGTAAGTCAGCAACTACTGCACTTGCCCAATGTGTGTATTTATTCTCTTTGGATCCTTTTTCATTTTATTAATCTGTTAGAATGTTGGTTCCTTCTGCTTAGGTTTTGAAATTATAGAAACCTTTAATTTTGTTGTCTATTGATTTGAGATAATAGGTGAAAAGCATCTATGTTTTATTAAGTAGGAAGAGGTCAGAAATGAAATTAATAATAGAAGCTGTTAACAAGAAAAGACATGGAATGGTCTTTCAGTTAAGACATTGAAATTTGGTTTTGGTGTCACTTAGCAGACATCAGAAGTGGCTGTGTGGTTGCTATGATTTAGTAGAACATGTGAGCAAATATGGATTTGCTGCTACGGTAGTGACTTCAAGGACTGACTTGCTTCTCAAAGCAGACATAATTGATGAGTTGTCCCAGGAAATTTCCTTCTTTCCCTCCAACCCTCAAAACCTGCACCTAAAAAAGAAAAAAGTATTTTTACACTTAGAGATAAACATTGTTGAAACTCTAACTGCTCACCATCCAGGAGAAAGGCAATAGGAAGGCAGCTGGGTATTCTAATCCTCTGGGTCAAGGTGTTTTGACTGGTAGTGTTTGCAAAGGTGTGTTTGCATGTACAGGTAGAGAAGGGACAGCTGAGGAGGAAGGTGAGCCAGAATACAGTCTGACCAATGTCAGTATCCCGACGCTGCACTGAAGTTTCTCACTTGCTTACATGGGCATATATTAATTTTGTCAGTGAGGACTACTGTATAATTAAAAGTTACACACTAAATCAAAAGCTGTTTTCACTGAGCCACTGAAAAACAACTTCTGTGTCCTTGCCAGATTTTAAGATTCTAGCATCTCCTGCTGATGTAATAGGTTTTTATGTTAGCAAATATTTTTGTATTCTGTCCAAGATTGGAAATAGCTCTTGAAAATATCCTTGTGAATTTTGATTAAATATTTTGTTAAAAAACACAGACCAGCTCCCCTATACCTTAGTTTGAGAGTCAGTATGCTAAATTTCAATTAAAACAAGCTTTGCAAAAATTATTAACATTTAAAAGTGATCCACCGAAGTGGAAGTGTGGCAGCAACTTTTTCATATAGAAGCCCTTTACAGTTTTGCTATATGTCATGGAGTGTTGTTTCCATAAGCAAAATACTTTCAAATTGAAATCTAATGAGAATTTTATGTGCATGTGTGTTTGTACTGTTTAGTGTTTTGGCATACAGTACACTCTGTTGAGTGTTGATTATTTTGAGAACTGCTGAGACAGGGAAATTTAGGTTGACTGTTAGCTATTGAGTAAAAAGGTTTTGCTCCTGGGAGTGCTTTTAGGTGACCTGCTGCTTTTCTAAGATTCAGTTGTGGCTAAGTCCATTTGTGTAGTACATTGAGCAGCTGTTAGTCTCTTTGTGGATATACTACAGTACATGTATAGTGTGTGCTACTTGTTCCAGTTCTTATTGTTCCTGATTTTATTCCTTAATATTAGGTTTACATGCTGGGTTGCCCACTTGATTATCCTGCAGACTGGTAGTATTGGGGAAGATTCAAACTTGGTCTATATTTTGTTGCAGATATGAACTTTTCCAGCTGCTTGATGGGAATGTGGCTGGTTCTTCAAGTAACAGTATTGATGTGAGAAGTCATGTTCTGTTAGAGAACTACTGTAAAATATACAATAATCAACTATTTTTTTCTAAACAGCTGTGATTATTCTTATGTTAGAGGTAAAGAAGCTCATGTTCAGAAAAACAGGTATTTTCCCATAACTATGTTAAAATTAATTTATTTGGATGCTGTGCTCTAACTTCCCTGCCCCGCCCCCTGAAACACCTGTTGACTTTTGCAATGGAAAATAACTCCCTTTTTTGGGGAGGGTGTCTGAGGATGGAGACAGATTTGTTTTTCAGTATTATTGCTATCAAAATCAAATATATGTGCTAAAAGGAAGCCTTTGTTACTAAGACAGAGCAGGTATCAACTCCAATCTGTCACTGCCTAAATCTGTGCTTTGGAACTAAGATGCTGGTCTTACAGTTGCCAGCTTTTGTTGGTTTATTTTTATACAGTAGAGGAGCTATGTCAGGTACGTCTAGCATAGCATTCTGCCTCTGCTAGCAAATACAGCAATTGCTTACTATCCTTCTAGCAATACTCCCTCAAAATGCTAGTTCTTTCTAAAAAAAAAAAAATTGTGGCTCAGTTTTCTGAACCATAAATATTAGCTTTAAACTTAATATTGCCTGGTGAATTTGGTCGTTGTAGTTGAATGATGAAGTTTTGTAGATCATTGTATTTACTAAGTATGTTAAGGGATGAAGCTTTAATGTTTGACTGCTATGACTCATTTGGAAAAATTTATTTGCATGGCCCCAAAGTGAACTATGTTATTAAAGCAGTGCTGGCATCTATTCTCAAAAGAATTTCTGCATTAAGATTAGGGACTTTGAAATAACTAAGCTAAAATGCCAATATTATATACCTGTGAAGCTGTTTCTAATAGAACACAGACTTTGTCATCAAAAAATTGTTTTACAGTGAATTGCTTTTCTTTCTGTAAATCAGAATTAAAAGAACATTTTCTAGGGTTCCATTTGTAAGGAATATACATGTTGGTATATCTGTGTTGATCAGATTCCTATTGCATCTCTGGGTGAATTTCTTTCCAGGATTTGGATATAACATCAGTATTAGGATACGTATGCTTTACTATCAGTCAATCAGGAAAAAGGTTAATTGTCTTCAGATAGGATTTCTTATAGACCTCTCAGTGAACTGTCCAGTCTTAAGTAAAAGACCCACAAAAGTGAGTCATTAAACTTCTTGGCAGGGTAAATTAGCCTGTAGCGTTGCGGTGCCCTAGCTAGCTTGTTTCCAAACAGTCCCTTTGTGGCTGCAATCCAGCAGCAATGCCAGGACAGCTAGGGGTATGAATCCAGCAGCTGAGTACCTTGCTGCTGGAAATTAAAAATGTGCTAATGAATGCACTAACGTATAACAGGAGGAGGATTACTGTTAGATCTTTCCTTTCCCTGAGTAAAGCTTGTTTCACTTCTGTCAGGACATTGCTGCAAGCAACTTGCCTTTGCAAACTAGATTAGTGGGACCAGGAAAAGACAATGCAAGAATTTGGCAGAAAGAGGACCCTCTCTGTTTGAGTGTTTTGATGCCTTTGCTAAACAGGTTTTGGGTTTTCATTTTTAAATCATCACTACAGCTCCTCTGGGAGTTTTGTGTATGGGATTGTATACACTAGATGAACTGGCAGAATGTTCATCTTTACATCCAAGCCCAGTCAGCTATGTGTGGCTTACCTCTGCATATGCACCTGTCAAACAGAACTGTGAAAAATTTAAATTTTAAAAGACCTGCAACTGCTATAGTCAGACTTTCTGTTAAATCTGAAATGCTTTTGAAGATTATGTCTCCTAATTATGGTGATTTTGGTATCTGAAGGGCATCTGAGTTAGTCATAGTCTGTATACTAGCCCTTAGCATTAACATTAGCAAAAATTGTAATTTCATTCAAAAAAAAAAAAAATCAGCATATACTCTGACAATGTCCAGTGATATTCTATTGCAGGATTAAGAAACTGCTTTAAATCAGTGTCCTAATGATCTTTTCAGCAGTTATAGTAATATGTGTATCATCTGAATATGTTTGCACAGCTCTTCAGTGTTTTTGTCATTTATTATTTGTAACATACCAGAGGGGTTCATGGGCACCTGGAGTTCAAGGCAAGCAAATGTTCTCAGTTCATACAGAGCTCAGCCCTGGTTATGAGGTCTCTGGGTTCAGATCCTTTCTGTTTGACAAGTTTTGTTACAGATCTGTTGCAGCAAATTAAATTCATATGGCCAAAACTGTTTCTCTTGAATACCCACAGCAGATCTGATTGTAGATTATCTTAATTTTATCAGTTTTTGTCATTACATATTGATATACAGACTCTTAAATGCCAAAATTGATTAGGCTCTACTACTGCTCCCATTAAAATCTCCTGCGGTTCTCGTTTCATAATGATTTTTATGGCAATGTCATAAATGCATATTTACTTTTAGGGATTTATCCACTTTATCCTTCAAACAAAAGAAATGAGTGGAAAATAATTTGGGAAATTAAGGGAAACATTGATAAAGGCAGAGTAATATAGGTACTGACTTAGTGCTGACCAAGAAAACCCCAACCAACTAGAATGTGAGAAATTATTAGGAAAAAAGTTGAGAAGAAAATGAAAACCGTAATTATGCCACTGTATAAATCCATGGCTGCTGCATTCTGAGTAGCACACGCAGTTATGATCACTTCATTCAAAAAAGGGCCCTCAAAAAGTACCGGAAGGGCCATGAGAGTGTCTAGAGGCTTCCATGCAAGGAAAGGCTCAACAGACAAGATCTTTCCAGCTTGGGATGGTGAGTGCAATGCAGTAAAGCAAAGTACAAGTCATAAGTACCATGATAAGAGATGTGGCAGCTCTAATGCTTTTCAGCTGGAAGGGGTCTTAAAAAAAATATTGTATTAGGTGCACGTGTGCGTGTATGGTTACATATAAATCAGTGGAAGTTTAAGATAGCATCTTACCACACCAGAACAGTATAGTTTATTAGTTGTCAAGATAATACTAAGAAGATGAGAATATTTAGTTGTTATGTTGGAAAAGAGGAAAAAAAAATTGCCACTATGATGTGAAGGACCTTGTAACTTCATCCTACACGCTGCTTTTTTGCACTCATCCTAAGTCCACCATGTGCCTGTCTGTGACTTTTGGGCTGTTGAGGGAAATGTCCTACCGACTGCATAGCTGTAGCCCACTTTCTGTTCTGATGTGGTGTGGGGCTGGGCCTGCTGCTTGCACATGCCCTCTAAGCACAAGAAGAAATAAAAGCTTAGAACGAGAAAAAATAAAGTTCAGGAAGATTTTAACTGAGGGTTATTTAGTTGCAGCAGTGATGAACCCTGCTGTCCCCAAGGTAGGAGGTGCCTCTGGAAATAAGTATTTGCAACTTCTTTTGACACAAGAAATAAAAGGTCTTCATTTGAAGTTATCAGCTAGCCACATTAAAACAAAAAGCAGGAATTGTTTTTTTGCAGGCTGGCTGATGAAGCTGCACAAGTCATTGGCACAGAAAATTGTGGAGGTCAGAACTGCAGGACCAAAAATGCATCCTTTGTATAGTCACTGGATAGAGGCATGGGTGGGTAATAAGGGTGCAACTATATTTTAGGAAACCCTTAAGTAGTTGATTGTCCCTAAGCCAAAGATGAAAGTTACTCCAGGATGCTCTGGAAGATAAACCGACAACTTAGTGGTTTTGTGGTCTCACCTTCTGTGGTATGATCCCTCACCTTCTCCTGTTTATGGACCTTTGAAGCCTGTAAAAGCCCTACACAGCTGGACTGTGCCCAGCGCCGCTCTGCAGCCTCATAAAGGGGCTCTGCATTCTCTGGCAGCAGTGCATCTCTGTGGGCACAAGTTACTGAAAGCTTTATTATTTTCATACTGAGTGATATGTGATGCAGAAAAGCATAAAATGTGTGTGGGGGGTCTTGCAGTTTTATTATTGTTTAGTGTTTTCTGCCACTGTTAGGAGCAACAGTAATTTCTCAGTGTTTTTTAGGCAGGCTGGGTGCGAACTATTGTTTGTATTCAATTGCAGTCTAAGTTGGAAACCCTTCCGTGCCATTAAAATTAATGGGAGTTTTGTGCGCTTATTGTTCATTTTATTAACAGGAGGCAAACAGATGCTTAAAATGAAGACTGTTTGGAGATGGGTGCCTGAACACTGAGTTACAAATGCAACATAATTAATTATGTAATCAAATAATTATATGACAGTAAGAAGAGGAGAGAGGGAAAGAGGGAAGCAAGCAACTTTTTGGATAGAACTGTCTTTCAGTATTTGGCAGTACTGTAATCAAATGCTTTCAGGCATTTAATTTATAAGTAGTTTACAACTTCCACTGTATGTAGGTGTTGCAAAGTTAACAGTGTAGAACTAGAAGTGTTTTCAGACTTGTTAGTCTAATTTATTGTTATGAAATTCTATCCTTTTAGCCTTGGCCTTTGGCTGGATTACAGAAATTATTATCTTTTTTTAGCAGAATCTTTTAGTTGAACACCCTTTAAGAGTTAATAATTTGGAAGCAGTCCTCTGAGACTTACTTATCCATATCACATTTGCAGAGAGGAAATTAGAAAGGCAAAAGCTCAGCTAGAACTCAATCTGGCCACTATTGTAAGACCCAACAAAAAATGTT